GGGCGCCGTAGGAGGTCAGTGTGACCTTGGGGAAGTCCCTGGCTCAGGCCGTGCTCAAGAGCGGTGGGTCAGCCAAAGCGGGAGGGTGTGTTTGGTCTGGTTTGCCCTCTCCGGTTTGAGGGGTCCTGGGGCGACGGCCACCCCAGCCTGGCCGGAGACCCCTCCGGGCATCCTAGAAGCTGGCTGGAAACATCGATGAGAAGGGGTGATGGACAGTCCCAGTAATAACTGGGCACCGGCTGTGTGCACGGAGCCTTGACCGGTGTGAGTCTTCAGGCCCCCACCCATCACCCCGAAAAGACGCCTGATCATAGAGGAGGCTGCTGGGACCGGGGCGGGGGGGGGAGTTGCCCAGAGGCTCCGGGTTTAGCACTAATGTCCCCTATCCCTGGAGCGTCTGTCCTCAGTTCAAGACACTTCATCACGGCGGGTCAGGGCCACACAGCCAGGGGTGTCAGGCTTGGAACTTGGGGGTGCGAGCTAGAGCCCCCGCCCCTGCATCTTCCCGTCAGTCTCCTCTGGAGTCACTGGGTCAGGCTGGTGGCTGCACCGCCGTGGCAGACCCTCCCTGGGCCCCCGTGTGCCCGCCCTGAGGGGCAAGGCTGGCGCAGAGGAGGCACAGACGATGTGGAATGTGGGCCTCTGTGGCCGCAGGCAGCCTCCCGAGGTCCTCTGAGCCGGGGACCCCAAGGGTCGAATACGGCAGCTGTGAGGGCACCACAGCGGGGACCGTGGGTGGTAACAAGTGGGCCCATGGGGTGGCCGTGATGCCCGGGGGCTCTCCTGGCTCCACCCCTGGGGATCTGTGTCCCCAACGGCGGCTGTGGGGGCCTCAGCAGGCAGACGACTGCTGGCGGATGGCCCTGGGCTGAGTGACGGGGGTGCCCTGGTGTTAACCCCTGGGGCGAAGGACGCCAAGGGTCGCAGAGAGACTCAGACACCCGCAGTCCTTGGAACCAGTCTTTATGGAGGCGCTAATCCCTCGCCTCCCCGGGTCCCTGGTGTCCCCGGGCTGCCCAGAGCCCCCCCACCTGGGCCACATGAGCAGCTCGCTGGCCCTGACCCTTCTCGGGCCTGGCCCCTTCCCCGGACCCCGCACCCTCCACTCTGTCCTCTGGGGCCCGAGGCCCCA